AGGGGCAGGTGTCGGGGATGGAAACCATCCTGCCCTGCCTTTATTACTAAACGTGAGGGGGTCAGGGCTAGATCCCAGCGAGCTGGGAGGGGATTCCAGGAGGGAAAGTGAGGCCTTGGCATGGCGGAAGTGTTAATAAAAAAATATAGATGATCCAGGAATAAATTTTTATAAAAGATCATTTTTATAACTAAAAAAGTGAGGGGAGATATGATTCTCTATAAATATACAAGATAAATACCAGAGAGGGAGAGAATTATTTAAATCATAAATTACACAAAACAAATGATATAAATCACTAGGAAATTTAGATTAGAAATTGACGAAGGTTTCTAACCATCAGAGGAGTGAAGTTTTGGAATAGCCTTCCGAGGGAAGTAGTGGGGGCAAAAGATCTATCTTGCTTTAAGATTAAACTCGATAAGTTTATGGAGGAGATGGTATGATGGGATAACATGGTTTTGGTAATTAAATATTCATGGTAAATAGGCCCAATGGCCTGTGATGGGTTTTTAGATGGGGTAAGATCCAAGTTACCTGGGAAGGAATTTTCTGTAGTATCTGGCTGATGAATCTTGCCCATATGCTCAGGGTTTAGCTGATCGCCATATTTGGGGTCGGGAAGGAATTTTCCTCCAGGGCAGATTAAGGCCTGGAGGTTTTTCGCCTTCCTCTGTAGCATGGGGCACGGGTCACTTGCTGGAGGATTCTCTGCTCCTTGAGGTCTTCAAACTACAATTTGGGGACTTCAATAGCACAGATATAGATGTGAGGTCTTTTTTAGGAGTGGTGGGTGAAATTCTGTGGCCTGCATTGTGCAGGAGGTCAGACTAGATGATCATAATGGTCCCTTCTGGCCTAAATATCTATGAAGTGGAGAAGCACTGGCTTGCGATATATCTGGCCATTGAGAACCAGACAATTTTACCCTCTGTCCACACAGATCTTCTTGGTATCCAGTGGGGCAAAGGAACTGTCAGGTAACTATTACTAAAGCTCTGTTGCAGCCTCCCAGCCTGCCACACTGCGCCCATTGCTCGAGGACTGCAGGGGGGGCCCCAGGCCACAGCAGGCATCCTGGGGGAGGTGAATGGGTGTCTGCAGGGGGTTGGAATAGTGAGGGGCATTTGGTTGCACTTCCACAGTGAACTCACTGTGCTCTGAGTGTGAGCCTGAGCAGAGGCCGCACACGTAGGCCTGTGTAGGCATATTTTGCCTGCTCGAATGGGTCTGTCCCAGCACATGAGCATCAAGAGAGAGTTTGTGTCCTTAAAACAAACACAACCCTCCCCCCACCCTCTGAGCCCCAGGGCTGCCTTATTTGAGGAGGGAAGAGCTATATGAAGAATGAAAGCTCACAGTCGTCTTGCACGATCCATTTGCTCCTGGAGCAACAGAGATCTGGGGCTGCATCTCCTGGAACAAGTCAGGTATTGCCAGATCAAACCAGGGGCTGGATCCTGTCTCCAGCTAGGGCCAGTGCCAGATGCTGCAGGGGATGGTGCAAGAATGCCCCTAGAGGACAACTATGGAATAACATGGCCACTGGGGAACTTCCTTCCTGATCCCCAGCAGTTAGTGGAGGCCTTAGACCCTGAAGCATGAGGGTTTACAGCCCTTAGACACACTTCTGTTAGCCTCTTTATGGTAACTGAGGATGCTCTCATTGTCTTTATAAATATCTCCTCCTTTTTTTAATCCTACTAAGCTTTTGGCCTCACTGTCTTGTGGCAGTGAGTTCTACAGGCTAATTTTGCATTAGAAATTAATAGAGGAGGGACAGGTAACCACGGCTCAATGTGTGTTTCATCTCCTCTCTCCCAGAGGATGTGAACCTACTACAGGTGCCAGCGGGGGGATTTACTGCTTCAGCTCAAGCTGCAGCAGCTCACGCTCTGAGCTCTGGAAGTCCTGAGTTCTATTGCCAGGGGACGCTGGCGGCACTGCATCAAAATAAAGGACCAGAGAGGCCGATGGAAAGGAGGAAATGCTGAATAACATAAACACAAGCAGGGCCTGCTCCTCTCCCTCCCACGCTGCCGTGATAATGACAGGCAGTGCTGCCTGACAACTAGGAGGAAACCAATGCGGCTGCCTTCCCATCCCCCGGATGCACTTATTGCTCTGGAGTGGTGGCTGCAAACCTGGGACTCTCCTCTAGACCCAGTGGGCCAACTGTCTCCCTCCACGGGCGGGACTAGCAATGGGGATGAAGAACAGACTAGGAGGCTAGCCGAACAGAGGAAACTGAGGCACAGAAATGGAGGAAGTGACTAGCCCAAGGCCAATGGCAGTGTCAGGAGCCAAACCGAGGAGTCCTGACTCCCAGGCTCCATCTTCCCCTGCACCCAACAGCCAGGTGATGGCCCTGAATCACTGCCTCTCTCCCACTGCACGTGTGAGCACAGACCCATGTCATAGAATCATAGAATAGAATCATAGAATATCAGGGTTGGATGGGACATCAGGAGGTCATCTAGTCCAACCCCCTGCTCAAAGCAGGACAAGCAGCAACTAAATCATCCCAGCCTGGGCTTTGGCAAGCCTGACCTTAAAAACCTCAAAGGAAGGAGATTCCACCACCTCCCTAGGTAACGCATTCCAGTGCTTCACCACCCTCCTAGTGAAAAAGATTTTCCTAATATCCAACCTAAACCTCCCCCACTGGCAACCTAAACCTCCCCCACTGATGTCTTCTTCAGCCATCGCTGCTAGGGGGCTCCTTGTCTGGCTGCTGGCAAAGCCTTTCACACGTGTGTGGATCGGTGTAGGTGCTACGGCACTGGTGATGGGCCAGCGTGTGTCTGTTCACCACTGCCCTCCACTGGGCAGAATAGATCAGACTTGCTCCCGCGTCCCCTCTGCTGCTGTCAGGAGCCAGCCGGAGCTGGTGCTGATGCTTCATGAGGAGAAGCGGGGGCGGGGGGTTGATAAGGGAGGCCGGATTAGCAGGAGATGCTGCAGGTAGGGATGGCACAGGCCTTGGCAGAGCGGGGAGGCTGGAATGTCAGGGGGGCTGCAGGTCAGGAGTGAGGGGCCTGGCAGAGTGTGCGCACGGTGCCTTCCTGGGCCGTGCCCTAACCAGAACAACGCTCAACGCCCACCAGGCTATCGGGCTTTTAATTTCCATGGTGCATTACGGCGCGGCTCAGCCCCGTACCTGACTCACATGACCCCTGCGAGAGAGGCGGGGATTAGCTCCGTTTTACCCTGAGGGAAGGTGGGGCGCCTGAGATCACCCAGAGGCAGAGCCAGGATTACCCAGAGCTCCCCGTCCTAGAACCACCAACCCAGAGAAGATTTTAAAAACCACCAAACCCTAGAGCCCCTTGCAGAGTGGCTTGGTCCAGGGCAGAGAGGGATTGTCTCCCCGCCATGCAATGCTGAGTGCCCAGGCAGCTCTCCGAACACCCAGAAAGCCAGTGTCCATAGTCCCCCGTGGCTCTGCCAGCCAACCCGGATGCACTGGGAAGCCATTTTCCCCTGGCAGATCAGAGGGGGCAGAGCCACTCTCTGGCTGCTGGAGAGATTTTTAGGACCACTCAGCATTGAAATGAAGGCTGCTTTGCATGGCCTGCTGCCTCCTCCCCTGCCATCCCCTGCAGAGCTGGGCTGCAGTTAGGATTAAAACCAGCCCTGACTCCTTTGAGGCGAGCGACTGAGGAAATTACCCTGGAAATTGATTCCAACTGATCAGGCATGAGGAAAGCAATAACCGCCCCCCATGCAGCGCTGAATCAATGTGTCCTGTTACATGGTGGGAGCAGGACTGGGAAGACAACCCAGGGAGGCAGCGCGGGGAGCAACGGAGAGCAGGAGCGACAGGGTAGGTGGACTTGAACTTGGCTCGAAGCATCGTCCTTCCCATAGGAGCCCCCTCACACCCTCCACCTGCCTTTGGATTAGCCTGGTGGGGTGGCTGACGGGGGGGCCGGCCTGCAGCAGCGTGAGGTCATTAGGGTGACCAGCTGTCCTGATTTTATAGGGAGAGTCCCGATTTTGGGGTCTTTTTCTTAGATAGGCTCCTATTACCCCCCACCCCATCCCGATTTTTGAGACTTGCTGTCTGGTCGCCCTACGGGTCGTGGAGAAGGGGCTGAGAAGAGGGAATACAGTGCCGTGAGCCGCAGCACCAGGGCGGGGATGGGGACACTGGGCATGGGCGCAGGGAGGGTGTCAAATCAAACCGAAGGCACCCGTCACGGTGGTAGTGAAGGCAGTGAGCTCCTCTTGGCCCATTCCATTCCGTCACCCAGAGACACCACGCACACCGGGCATGGCCACACTGCAGCTTAGCCCGGGCTGTGACTTGGGTGTGAGCCCAAGCGCGCCTTCTGTCCACACACAAATCGGTCTCACCCGGGGCAGCGAGCACTCGGGACACGGGTCTTAGGATGCTGCCAGAGGGGTGGGCCAGAGCCTGAGTCCGGCTGTGACTCAGGTCCAAGCCCTGTCATTTTGTCGTGTGGCCGCAGCTCAAGCCACAGACCTGAGTCAGGAAGTCTGCGCACTGCAGTATGGACCTGTTAGCGCGGCTGTGAGACCCGGGCCCAGCGATGGCAAGCCCACGTTTACACTGCAGTGCGGACGCTCAAGCACGGCTTGGAAATTCAGAGTCCACAAGCCCAGGTCCCCCAGACTGGGGTTTACAATGCCAGCTGGTCTAGCAGAGAGCTGTGATTGAAATGCCCTGGGGAGGAGGTGATGGCCGAGCCGTCTAACCAGAGGACTGCATTATAGACGCCGCAGCAGGACCCGCTCCTCTCTAGCCGCGCCAGCCTTTGCCCCCCCACCCGTGCTTCCACGCGGGCTTCCCCACCCAGGCAGAAGACGGGTTAAAGCCGCCTTGGGGAGGCGGTGCAGAACCCAGCCAATGAAAAGAGGGCTTATTGAGCCAGCCAATAGGGAGAAGGCTTAGTGGGACAGCCAATCAGGGCCAGGCTGGCCCATATAAGAAGGGCTGTTGAGCAGGACAGGGGCAGACTCTCCCTAGGGGCCAAGGGAGGAGGACAGCTGCCCTGTAGGGGGGGGGCCCATGGGCCACCTGACAGCTGCCAGTCTCAGGCCCTGATACAAGGGCGGAGAAGGTGCTGGGGCTGCGGGGAAGTGGCCTGGGGGAAACAGACGGTGGAGTAGGAGGAGGGGCAGTACATGGCTGCTGGCTATCGGGTCCCTGGGCTGGGACCCAGAGGAGCAAGCGGGCCCAGGTCCTGTCCCTGCCTTTGCCCCCCCCACTTGCCCCCGAGGGGAGTGGCCGGACTGAGGACTGTTGGGTCCCCCGGCAGGGGGAGAGAACCGAGTGGGGCACAGTCAGAGGGCTGTGTCCAGAAGAGGATGCTGCGGTCCAGGGAGCGAGGTGGGGGCGAGACACCACTAGACGAGGGTGCTCCAGCGAAACGAGAGCTAATTCCCAGGATGGCCAGCAGGAGGCGTCGCGGTGGTGAGTCCAGCCCCGTTACAGACCCTCTGACAAAGTCCTTTTGCAGCTAACTTTACACATCGGAGCATTTTAGGGCCGGACGCCTGGCCCCGCTGAGGTCAGAGGAAGCTTTGCTATCCGTTGCGGATAGACAGGGTCCCTCCTGTGATACGCAAGTCCCATAAAGCGCTCCCTATGGAACTCCATCGCTCCCCACATTCCCACGGTTTGGATCTGGTCCATGCCTTCTCTACCAAAACCTGGGCTGGATCCAGCTAGGGTTCAAGCTTCCTTTCAGAAGCCAGGCAGGCAGGGACTGCTGGTGGCCCCTCTAACCCACCTGTAAAATGGTTGGACACTAAACCACAGAGCTGAAAGGCCTGATTCACCCCTAATCAGTCCCCTGGGGAAGTTCTGTCTCTCTGGTTATTATCCGTTTTTCATCAGATCATCTGTAAAACACAGGCTTTTCGGGGGAGGGGCAATGCAGGGGCACTGTCAACGTTAGGGGGTTGGTGACCTGGAGTAATCGGTGCTTCTACAGTGCCCTTCATCTCATGATCTCTAAGAGACTTACTAGAGTCTATAAATGAGGTCAGTATTATCCCCTTCCTAGCAGTGGGGAAACTGAGGCACTGAGCGGTTAAGTGACTTGGCTGAAGTCGCAGAGCAAGTCAGTGGCAGAGGTGAGAACAGAATACCAGTTTCCTGGTTCCCATTCTCTGCTCTAGCAGCCCTGCCTCTCCCATGGCTGAATTGAGTGGAGCTGCTTTTTTTTTTTTTTTTTTTTAAATAAAGGGAAATTTACTGAGTTCCTGTCGGGGGAACAGGGAGTCCAGAACGGCCACATTAACCTCCACCAGGGCTACTGATGGCAAGCAAATCCAGACTGGCTATGGCTGAGTGGGACTGAGGCATCCAGATTGCTGCTCAGCCCCCTCGAACAGCTGACAGGATGCGCAGTATCTCGCCACGGCAGGGCAGGGCCTTGCACTGCTGTGCATCCAGGGCCCTGGCTAGCAGAGGCTGCCAGGCGGGCGAGAAAAAGACACAAGGGATAAAAAGAGCAGAGATGACAGAGCAGGAGAGGGAGGAGGCAGGAGGGCTGGAGAGACCGCACACAGAGATCGAAAATCAATTCCCATCGGGGCCATTCCTTCCCCTAAGGACACTCTGACTGAGCAGAGTCACTAACCGGAGCCAGGCCACTGTCCCTGTTCCAGTGCAAAGAAAAAGGGGAACAAACAGGGGCTGGCTGCCTCTGCCCCAGATGCCAGCGGTGCTGAGACACGCCACAGGCTCACAAGCACCTCTCGCCAACCTCCAGCTGGCCACAGGGGAGTGGGGACTGCTTGTTATTTCTGCTATGGTGGCAACCAGGAGCCAGGCCCCATTGTGTCTGCGTGCACAAAGGCACCCCTGCCCCAGAGAGCTCAGAGTCGAAGATGGGGACACAATGCAACAGGGGAATAAACAGGCAAAGCGGGGAGGGGTCAGCGGTCACCAGCCTCCTCAGGAGCGAAGGGAAGGTGTCACAGCGGAGCTTTAGGGAAGCCTTTACACTAACTAAGACCTTTGAAATCCCTCTTTCCCAGGAGGACCTCACAAGCATTCCTGGAGTTTAGCCTCACAGGGTTGCTGGCAGGTATTATGCCCATTTCACAGTGGGAGAACAGAGGCCCAGTTGAAGTGATTCTCCCAAGGTCACAGGGAGAGGCAGTGAATTGATCCCAAGTTCCTGGCCAGGGCCCTACCCTATGACCATCCTCTGCCCCTGCTGGCATGATCTTCCCAAGCACGAATGGGAGGCGTGGGAGAAGCAGACAAGCGAGTGATGGAGGCCGGCAGACAAGCGAGGGCATGGGGCGGCCATCGCATGGCAAGAAATTAAATGTGAAGGGCAGGGTGAGGTGGAGAAGGAGCTTAACGTCAAGACAGGCAGGGAACCGGGCGCCTGGAGACGTCTCCTCCACGGCATGGCGTGCTTCCCCCCCCCCCCCCCCGATGGGGAAGGTGGCTTTCCGCACCAGGTTAGGAGCGCTTCTTTTTTGTCCAAATGCACTTGGTGCAAATATTTCCGGCAAGCTAATCACTTCCCCTAATCCGCAGCCGTCAGCGCAGCCATGCTAACTGCTCGCTCGCTGACAGCCGCCTGGCAGCAGCTTGACGAGGGGATTCTGACTGCACTGCTGCAGTTCATCAAAAGCAAATGCATCTGCAAGCAAGCCGCACAAGGCCCAACAAATATGCATACCCAGAGAGAGCTTAGGGCCAACAGAGCCAGCTTCTGTATTCCACTAGCCAGCCCTCTGGGTCTCAAGCCAGGCAAGAGGAGAAAGGGGGGACATGTGGTAAGGCCCCGAAGGGGGACATAGGAGATCTGGGTTCAGTTTCGTGGCTCTTCCAGACACTTCCCTTACGACATTGGGCAAGTGACATTGGGAGAGGTTTGCAAGAGATCTCAGCTCCCAGGAAAGCGCCAAAATAAGGAGGCAGGTTTCCAAGAGCTCCGCACGTCGGGAGCGGAGGAGCCCCTCTGACAATCTGTCCAGCAGCGTCACGGCGGGAGGCGCTGGGTGCAGAGCTCTTACGAAAAACCTGGCCCTGATTTAGGTGCCTAGATGGGAGTCAAGCTCTTCTGAATATCTGGGCTCAATTGTGGGTGCTGCTGTCTGAGCACTTGGAAATGCAGAGCCGGCAGGTTGGGGTTGCTGCCTGCTTGCTGTTATGCAGCCTGCCTCTGGCAACTGATAATGAAATACTTGGCGGGCGGGTTCGACGGGGAAGATGTGGTCTGATCTGTCTTATACCCCATCTCAGATACGGCAGCATTGCATCGGGGGCATTGCATCGGGTGTTTCAGAACTGTCTCGGGGAAGGGCCCACTCCTGTCCCCCCCATCTGTAAGGGGCACTTTTACATCAGGACACTTTCTCCACCCCACGACATCCCTCTGCCCCTGCTGGCATGATCGTCCCAAGCGCGAATGGGAGGTGTGGGAGAAGCAGACAAGCGGGCGATGGAGGCCGGTGATCGCACAGCAAGAAATTAAATGTGAAAGGCAGGGCATGGCGAGGTGGAGAAGGGGCTTAACAGCAAGACAGGAAGCCAGCGCTTGCAGGGAGGCAAGTGTAAATGGTGGTGGCAATAGCGCTGGGAAACCATGGAGATGATGGTCTCCCCCTACCCCCCCCCGATATACCCCCACTTCAGGAACGCCACGCAGACATGCTTCTCCCCCTCATGTCCCTGTGGTGCAACCCCGGTGCCGGATGCCCCAACGCCGCCTTGCCATGCAACTCCACGACTCATTGCAACGCCCACCAAAATTGGTGACTCCCTGGTCCAGTCTGACCCCCTTCACCAGGAGCGATCCATGATGGAATCAGTGGGAATTGTCCCAGGTGCATTGTCCCGGGTGCAGACATGGCTTGCTATCCATTATGCACACCAGCCGGCTGTCTAGAGCAGCCAGCAAGTCTGAAGAACTGCTCTGAGATCAAGGCACTCTCTCTTGGATGCTAGCGAAAAGCCTGTCCCAGTGGCATGTAGCCCTTGAGATCGCAAAGGGCTCCTATGAACAACACTTCTACCAAAAGCAGATCTTGTCCCTCCTTATTTCTGCCATCCTTGACGAGCAGCTCTTAACGAGAGGGGACAATGGCTCCTTCCGGCCTTTAATAACTGTTGCTGCAGGGGACAGCAGAGAGGAAGGTGCATGATTAAAAGCTAAAGCCAAACCGAATCCTCCTGGCTGGACCCGTGTCCTTCCCCCCAGCTGCAATGAGAAGCTGTCCAGCCAGCTAGGTTTATCCAAGCAAAAGAAGGACAAAGGCAACTGCGCCTGCCTCCCCCTTACTCTCCTAGCAGCGTGACCTTCAGCTGTAGACGCCCCAGGACAGAGCCAACCCTGTTTGGAAACACACGTGGTACGATCTTTGTCTGCTGCTATCTGCGGGCTCTGAGCTCACCTTGAGCTGTCAGTTTCACCTGGGTGCTTTCAGAAGCCCCCCTCCCCCAGAGCTGACCCTTCCCTAGAACTTCCTCTGTGCGCCCCCCAGCCCCCTGAAATGCAACTTTGCTGCAGTCCAGGTTAAAAACCGGGCTGCGTTTAGTCTTGAGACAAGACGACGGCAGAGGGCCGTGATACCATCCTGCTGCTGTGTCAAGGGCTGGGACAAAGAGGACTGCGCTCAGTTGTTCTCCATGTCCACTACACAAACCTCAGCGATGCTTCGGAGGAAGCGCCGTGGGGATGCGAACCACGGTTGCATGGGGCTGAAGAGGAACCAGGAGACGGCTCCCAGGCAAGACTCCAAACTCTATGCAACACACAAGCGTTTTGTCGCATATGTTTAAACCAAATTAAAGATGGTTTTACTAATCGCCTGGCATTTAAATCAACATGCCATCTCTGTCAAGTTAAATCTAAGGAGACATCTCGAGGTCCATTAGCTGTTTATGTTAATTAACGACAGAGGCAGTTCATTATTAAGCATGTATTCATGGGAAGCAACCAGCTAGGTGGGTTGTTACAAACCTGATTACATGGGCACTGACCTCGCTCCAGTGCGTGCCCGGGAATCGGTCGGCGTTTAACCGCCCGGCGATTGTCACGTTCAGTCGACATCCGGATCCTCAGCCTTGGAGAAAGTTGGGTGGGAGGGTGCAAGCTGGCCTTCCTCGCCGGTCAATGCAGGAGGTAGCCAGTCCAGAACCCACCTTTCCAGGCTCCAGCCAGACTCCAGTCCCCTTTCCCGTCGCTGAGCTAGAGAGGGGGGATCTGCCAGGCTGGCACGGGTGTCTGCGAGGTTGTCTCCATGGCTGCCGGTTGCTGCCCCACTTTCCCTGCCAGAGTCCATGGCATCCTTCCGGCTCCCGGCCAGCCCTTCTGCTCACATCCTCTCCCTGCCCAGGAACTTTTCCCCTCTGCCCCGTTCGATTCCCCTGCTGTGTGTCTTTCTCCCGGTCGTTTCAAAGCTCCGTCTGTTTCTCTGGGTATTTTTTTTTCCTTTTCAAATGTCAGTGTGTTCTGTCCAACGAGTCACGCAGGCCGAGTGCCAGGCGTCCGTGCACACCCCTGCCCTTGCCGCCCGCTGCCTGCGTGCCCACAGCCTCGCTACCCCCTTGCCACCAGCGGGGAGCTGTGTGTGCTAGGGACGGGAGCTTGGCTACCCATGCGGAGCTGATTGCATTCAAGGCAGGCTCTGTGCTCTTAAAGACACAGTCCCCGCAGGCCTGTAGGACCCTGCTCTCTGGCTGAGCTCCAGCTTGGCCCCCCGGGGGCACCCGTGCAAGGAGGGGCAGGACAGCGCCCTAGCGTGACAGCTGGGTGAGGTGGCACAGAGCACAGAAAGACCTGGGGAGGGACATGTAGGGCTGGGGGCATAAGTGCCCTGTTCTCCTGCTCTGTCTCAGCCGTGCAAAGCTCCTCTCTCTCCCTCACAAGCTTGGCATGGGCAGGCCCAGCCTGAAACCCCTGCTCCAAACACCCCTGGCCTTTGGGCCAGGGCAGATCCAGGCCCGACCTTCGTGGCATGACCCTCTCCCAGGCTGAGCGTGGCCAAGGAAACAATTCACTGCAGAGATCAGGGCCAAGATGCTGCATGTGAGCCCTGGGGGGCTTAGTCTCAAGAGGCTGCCGTGCAGGAGGGAGCTCCCAGTGCTGTCCATGATGCTGCAGTTGCACGCGCTGTCACGGGCTGAGTCTTGCCACTGCGTGTGCTGGAGGTAGCAGAAAGGATAATCCTACCCCCAGGCTCACGGCAACCCGATGGGCTTCCTCTGCAGCATGCCCCCGGCCCCCACCAACCCCCCGAGGGAAGCAAAGGACAATCCTTTGCACGCAACAGATCCCAGCTGAAATCTTAAAGCGCTTCCCAAATATAAATCCTCGGGTCACTCCTTGGAGGGGAGGATTATCCCCATTGTCCAGAGGGGAAAACAGAGGCATAGAGAAAGTGATTTGGCCAAGGTCACACAGTAGGTCAGTGGCGGGGCAGGAACTAGAGACCCTAGAGTCCTGCTTTCTAGTCAGTGCTGTACTCACTCGAACTCGCTGCCTCCCCTGTACAAACTAACTAACCTGCCCTACTGAGTCAATTCACATCCTACCACACCAGGATTTTTATCTCTATTGACATTACAGGGATGTCCAGAGGCGTGAGTGTGCTCAGTGTCCCACTGTGCTGGGTGCTGTACAAACACACAAGAAACAGTCCCTGTCCCACAGACCTTACAGTCTAAACAGACACAACCATAGGGTGAGAGAAAGGCAGTATCATTATGCCCATTTTACAGTTGGAGAAACAGAGGCACAGAGAATCAGTGACTCGCCCTGGGGTCAAAGACAGACATTGAACCTCCATTTCCAAAGGACCAGTCCAGCCCCATAACCACAAGACCATTTTCCCCCTCGAGAGCCCTTTTCCCCCAAAGCGAGCCAGGTCCAATTCTCTTACAACACAGCTCTGTCCTGTGCAGGAGAACCAGACTGGCCCTTCACAAGAAGGCTCCAGCCCCCCACCATGCCAGTTCCCCGCTACACCCCTCCACAAACCAGTTTCCCTCTTCTCCCCATCCCTAAACAAACAGGGCTACTTTTCCTAGGGCCACCATCTCTCCCCAGGGCCCAGGGGCCTTTCCAGACAGGCCTGTTAAGTGACAAGTGGCCCCTTTCCACAGGTGCCTCTGTGTATGCTCGTGCACTTCCTGCTGTATCTGTTGGGTGGCAGCTGGAGAAAGCTGAGCCTCCCCAGGGGTGTTGCAGGTGCCCAGCCCCTGTCATCACAGACTATTAAGTCCCCAAACTGCGGTTGCAACCCTTTGTGGCCACCACAGGTCCCCGACGCTTTTTGGGACAATCAGCCTGGCCGAACCCCAGCTCAGATCCTTGCGTTCTGCCTCACTAATCCTCTCCCTCCCCATAGTTTCAGCTCAGTGCAGTATCTTCCTTCATTTCCTGCCCTGAAGTGCGTCCCCCTGGGGCGTTAAACGGCTGCTGTGCTCCACAACCGAGGCAGCTGCATGTCAGCGGCAGGCGAACGAGGCCAGGCACTACAAGATGGAAGACTTAGGAGCTGGGACTCCCGGGTTCTGTTCCCAGCGCTGCTCCTCACTTGCCTTCAGCACGTGACTTGAAGGCCTCTCGGGGCATTTCCCCGATCTGCGCACTGGGGGTAACGCTCAGAGGCCCGTTGCGGGACTCGGTGAATTCATCTTTGTGATGTGCTCCTTGGAGGACCGAGCCCCTGTGGTCTACACTCAGTCCTCCCCCCAGGCAGGCCCAACTCCCAGGGCTGAAACTGGTCTGATATGTTATCAGAGTGCCAAGGCCCTTATTAGGTACGTCTACACGGCAAGCGCAGTGGCGTGGCACTAAAAGTCGCTACGCAGACGGGCGGGCTGGGGCTCTGTAGCTGCGGGAGCAGGGTGGGCTTCACAGCCCAAACTCCAGTCCCAGCCGCAACATCTACACAGCTTTTCTTTGCATCGTAGTGCAGGCCCCTGAGCCCAGGGCCGTGCACCCGGCTCCGAGACCAGCTGCTGCAGGCTGTAGACCAGTCCCCAGGGAGGAGCAAAGGCAGCAGGATCTGCTCTCTGACCGCTAGAGCACCCTGGGATCCTTCGGGGGGCGAAAGGGGGGGGGCGCATTATCAAGCTGTTCTCACGTGTCATTCTGTGGGCTCTGCAGAAGCAACAGGGGGACACCAAGCACGCGGGTGGGGACGGAGTGACAGGCAGGCAATGCCACCTGCTTGCTGGCTCTGCCGTCCGTTCAGCAGATGCCTCGGTGCCAAGGACAGATGGCGGAGGGCACAGCCCTTCATCAGCGTGCCAACGGGCCCAAGGCTCTGCTGGGTGCTTCTTGTTCTGGAGTGGGCCCAGCTCACAAATGAGTGGAGCGCGCACCACAGACGTGGCCACCGGGGTTACATCCAGGGCCAGCGACCCCCGGGCTGCTGTGTCCATCCTTTTCTGAGCCACTGCCCCTGTGCAACCCCCCGTCCCCCGCTGCCCTTCCCTAGGGGGCACCAGCGTGTGACACACCCTCACCTGTGTGTGCCCGACACCGAGGGGGAGAGAAGCCAAGTCAGGAGCCGTCCAGGGCATGGCTCAGACTGAACCTTTTAAAGGCTGATGCCCCAGCCTCCACCTCCCCACACCCAGAGTCGGTGTCTCCATCTGAGCTCTCTCCCTGGGGCAGAAAGGAAGCTCTCTCCCTGGTGCTCCCAGGGCCAATAGGACCCTTTCTCAGCTAGGGTCCCTCCCAGGCTCCTGGATTGGGAGGGGTCCCAGGAACCAGGTGTCACGGAGTGTGGGGGAGTCCAGGCCCTGCACCCCTCTTCCTGGGATTCACTGAGACTCTCAGCCAGCCAATCAAACACAAGGTTTATTGGACAACAGGAACACAGTCCAAAACAGAGGTTGTGGGTACAGCCAGGACCCCTCAGTCAAGTCCTTCTGGGGGAGCAGGGAGCGTAGACCCCAGCCCTGGGGTTCCCTGCGTTCCTCCATCCAGCCCAAAACTGAAAACCCCCCCAGCCAGCTCCCTTCTGCAGCCTCTGTTCACATTCCCGGGCAGAGGTGTTACCTCCCCCGCTCCCTCCTGGCTCAGGTTACAGGCTCTCAGGTCTCCCATCCCTAGGGCACATTCCCAGGTCAGCACTCCCCCCTCCCTGCTGTGTCACAGGGTAGTCAGCTGAACAGGTCTTGTCCTGAGTCCGGTGACCCATCCTGGCTCACCCAGGAGAAGCACATTCAATCTCTCCAGACCAGGTCGGCCGGACATGGGGGGCTTCTGAGGTTAGTGTGGGGGAGAGAACCAAGGGAATGAGGATCCTGGAGGAGCCAGAACAATCTGCTGGTTCCCCAGGCCCCTGTTGCCCAACCCAGGCTAATCACCCCTTTTCCTGCCACCCCGCAAATGTTCTCCAGCCGCAGACACATTGAAGCAGAGCGCACAGGTCCGGGTGGCGCTGTACTGAAGATTGGGGCCAGCCAGGGCAGGGCAGACTGCTGCCCAGAGCCAGTGACAATTCCCTTTGCCAAGCTGGGCAATGGGGCCAGAGAGAAGGGGGCTGAGCCGCCAGATCATGTCCGACACATCTGGAAACAGAGGCGGTGCAGCAGACTTGGGAGAGCTGTGAGTACCAGGCAGCAATGCCAGGGTAGCCTCCCTGGCATGGAGCCCAGACCCCAACTGCAGGCAGGTGGGCGGGCAGGAGGGCTCTTAGCCTGAGCCAGGCTCTGCTCCCATTGGCACTGCCAAGCTCCTCCACATACTGAGGACATCCCCTGCCCCAAGGGAAGGGGGAAGGGAATGACTCCCATGCGCCCTTGTGAATCCTGTGAACTCCACGACTGGCCTGCTCCTCCTCCCCCACCCTGCCATGCTCTGCCCCTACCATGTGCCTGTTCCTCCCCCAACTGAGGGTGTCCCACCCCCGCCCCCAGTCAGGCCTCCCCGCCTCCCCCCACATACTCACAACCCTGCCACTGAGGGTCTCTCCCCATTCAACCGGGATAAAACAGACTCCAAACAAAGCCCCGGCTCTGAACGTCCACAAGCTTTGGGTGCGTTGGAATCGGATCAGAACTTAGCAGCCTGGCCCCATCTCTGCCTGGATTGGGGAGGGCATCCAGGCCATCCAACCCCACCCTCCACTGCCCGTCTCAACCCCCTGTGCTTCCGGCCATCCTACTTATTGGCACAGGACCCCTTGCCTGGGAGAGGGAACCATGCCCGGGAAGCAGAGCTGGCTGGGGAGCTTCTGGGAGAAGTAGATCTCTAGGGCTGGGGGGTTGGGGGGCACGGGCAGGACCGTAGCTGCTCCCAGGGGGCAAGACGTTCGTTTGACTAATCCCCATCTCTCATTCAGGTCTGTCAGCGCCCAGGGTCCCAGAGCGCTTTGCAAACCGGGCACAGAAGCACCTCGTCACCTGCCACAGCTGCGCAGTCAAGGGGCAGCACGCGGCTGGTGTCTAACAGGGCCCGGCAATGCCAGACAACGCTCTAGGCCAGCGAGTGCAGGACGCAGCATCAGCTCCAGATGGCAAGTGAATCCCAAGCAGGCAGAGCACGAGGGACCTGCTGGAATTCACCCAGGAGGCCAGGGCTGAAGCTGTTCCTGCAGGATGTCTGAACGGCTAGCGGCGGTCCGGACCTTGGCATTGCAGTGCAGCTGCCCTCCCCAGCGCTGAGTGCCTAACAAGGGGGCAAAGCGTCACTAAATCACCAGCCCCACTCCTGGCAGCAGCCCAGGGTCGT